GACTTTTAATGCTCCCTGAAATACCAAGAAAGGAGTCAGAACAGAGGACGGGAATGAGGAGGCACGTGGGGGGGAGGGGGTTCAAAGTAGAACTAGAGAAGAAGACAAAGTTGTTGAACTAAAGGAACATGCAGATGCCATGTAGCATTTTGTAAAGGAAATTCAGAGAGACTGAGTGAGACTCACTGCAGTCCTGACAATGAAGTCGGACAAAGGAGATGACGGAAGACAGGATGGGAGAGACAGACGCAGAAATGAGGTTGCCCTCATTTCTGAAATTCTGTGAAGTGGACACCACAGAGCAGGCTGGTACGTAGAGGGCCTGTAGGTCCAGACTAGGACTGATGGGTTCATCTGTAAGGGTGTGATCATGTAGTGATAGAGGAAGGATTAAAGACGGACAAGACAAAGATTAAAGCTACAGAGCTGCTCTGAAGGTCCATGGACCTGGATTTGAAGGAGGTTCAGGCAAATGAATCTGAGGGTTGGGCTCCAGGCTACGGCCTCACCAGACCTTGGTCCAGTGGCCATCTGTACAATTAGCTTCTCTGGTCTGAGAAGTTTTCTGTGTACAGAGCAGCTCTGTTCTTTGAAAGGTGTTTATGATTTAGACAGGACACAAACAGTAAACAGGTGAAGGAGATCAAGCAGGAGTTCACACCAGTGTACCAACAGGAGTGGACATAGGAGCACACGGAGATTGACAGGCTCTAATGGAAGACTGCTTGAGGAAGGAAGAACCTCACTCACCTATAAAAGGAATGGAGGACAGAGAGTCAAATGCGTGCTGGGCCAGACGACTGCTGGTGCCACGTTTTGACTCCGTAGATACAGGGGAGAGTTTTTCCTGTGAAGGTGTCAGTCCAGGAGGCTCAGGAGAGTCTACATGTGAGGAGAAGTGTGACTGTCTAAGAGCACTGACGGGGGGTCGTTGGTTCAGAGGTTTCCGCCTGAGCACCACTTCTTGGTTATGGGTGATGGGAGTAGCTTTTCTGTCCTCCCCTGGTTGTGTTTTCTCCTCCTCCGGAGCTGGCACTGCAGGTGTGGACCGGGGTCTTGGTGCCGTCTGAACCTTACTATCTGTAGGAGTGCTCCTGCTGCCAGGGCTCCAGTTCAGGTGAAGACCACTGTAGCTGGGTTCCTTGAAGGAGTGTGCTTGCCTAAGGAGGTGGCTGGTCTTACGGGAGAAGGAAGGACTGTAGCTCTTGTAGCCCACCAGCTCTTCTTCTTGTACCCGCCTGGTCTGGGTCTCTGCCAGCTGCTGACCAGACTGCCCACCACTGGAGAGTACTGTTGATGAGTTTGTGGTTGGGGGAGTCACTGTGGTCTGGTGTTGTAGACCCTGTGTGCAGTCATAGCCCTCCTTTTTGTTGAACTTTGTAGAATGGATGTTTTGTGGTTTTTGATTGTGACGTGGTGTGACCAAAGCAGAGGCTTGTGCTAATGTCTCTACAGAACGCTCGTAGTTATGTTCATATTCTGCGTAAGCTGCCAGAAGTTTCTCAGAGCATTTCCTGCCTCCTGTTTTCGCTACACCACCATAGCCACTTAGCCATAAGGAATCATGGGAAACAGCTGCCGCTTGATGGTGGTGCATTAGAGTGTCTCTTCTGCATCGTTCTGAAGATAAAGGGCTGGGACCAAGAGCCAACCCAAGCTCCAACAAACGATCTTGAGAAATACTGCGATGGCGTGGGGATATTCGTTCAGCGGCCTCCGCCTGGCTGTAGTACCAGTCAGATAAAGCCTGGTGACAGAGGGCGTCGGTGTGGGCACGAGAAGACACCGGCAGTCTACTCCTCCTTGGTGGAGGGAGGGTTGCAGAAGCAATGGCAGCATTGTGGTTAGCAAAATGAAAGTCCAGGGCACTCAAGGTTGCAGAGCAGCGACCTCGGTGTCCACCGGATATGGCAAAGGCTCTACCTGGATCTTCAGGTCCTCCGAGCCAGCCGGAGTTTGGGGTGGAAACAGCTAGGGGCTGGTTATCCACGGGGAAGGTGGTCTCCTCAGGTCGACACTGCCAGTTGTCTGGAAGCGTCTGGAGGTTCTGGCTGGGCTCGCAGGTTCTGACGTTGGGTTTATTTAAGGGGGACCAGAAAGGTGGAGGCTCAGGGGGATTCTGGGCCTCCTCTGGATATGGCTCATTACCTTTTAGGTAGGCATCATGGGAGTATGCCTGATGAAACAAGGAATTAGGAAATTAGAAATTCTTTTATATTTGGGAATTTCTTATTTTGGAAAAGGTTTGATCAAGATTTGTTGAAATACTTATTTGGTCATAGACAAAGGAGATGAAAGAAAGTTCATACTCACACTCACCAATTGAAACACGTCTTCATCCTTTGGCATAATAGAGAGTTCCAGAACATCTTCACTATAAAACAAACAAACATTGTTTATCAGTAAACATAGAAGAGTTGAACTCTGTGGTACTACACTGTGGTACTACATCGTGGTATATATACCAACACTCTCACCTGTTCTGGATCAGTGCGATCACCTGAGAGTAAGTTTTTCCAAGAACACTTTGTCCATTGACGCTCACCAGACGATCCCCTGAAATACACGGACGAAAACGATCATTTTATCTAATGCTGTAGCTATCTGTGCATCCAACCTTTAGCTATGTTGTCGTTAAATTAAATCTACTTATATCTAACAATACACCTCTGTATACATTAGCTATCAAATAGCTAACTGTCTGTACAACATTTAACCTTTCTGACTGATGCTAACTTTTAGCTCTTCCTATGGTTGTTCTTGGTGGTCATTCTGTTTATGTTGTGTTTGACAAAGACTAACTGTTTTGCTCATTTGCTAACAGTCAATTTTCATTGATGATCAAAGTAGAGAATTTAGGTTAGGTTGAACTTAGAGTGCCCTCCGCTGGATCACTGCGTAATTACCTCAAACAGTGAAAGATATATTGTACTTAACCAGGGTTTTCAACCATCAAACGTGGAGTTTAACTAATGTATGTGAACATGTATTTGAAACTTTAATGTTAACAGTGTGTCTACCTGTACACAGCCCAGCTTGGTGGGCCGGCCCATGTTCTCGAACACTCTTGACAAAGATGGTGTCCATCGGCTCCAGAGGAGAACGACTGCGACCTGCAGTGACCAGAGGAGGCAGCAGAGTCAGACATGAACTAACGCTGAATGTGAGGTGAGGGAGTCAGAGGGGAGTCAGAGTGAGAGAAAACACTGACCTGCTCTGCTGCTGTTCCCATTCTCTTCAACCTGTCAGTAAAACAAGAGTGATAGATTTAATGGAATGGACCACATGGGGGCGCTTCTGAGCTCACACTGCCAAAACACAGTTAGGCATCGTTAAAAGTATAACGATGTAGTATCAACAGTAAAAATGTGTTAATATTAACTAGTAAACATCTAAGTAATACTACAGTACTCACTGTGTCAAAAGTGGTAACAGTCCAGGACTACAGTCCAGCTAATGTAGTAAAGACTTAGCTGTTAAAAAATGTGTACTTGTATTCAGTAGTAATCTAATAACTGAGAAGCTGTCAATGAATACCAGTGTGTACTAATGTAGTAACAGCTACTGAATATGTAAGTTGTAGTGTAGTAATGGTGACATAGTAGCAGCTGATACTGTAGTAATACCCATGTAAGAACGTGACGTGTTAAGCTCCACCCACTGACCTTGTAGCCTTGCAGTGAGGACTCTGGTGGGTACACGATGAAGTGTCGCAGAGTGAAACCGAACCCTTGCGGGTTCTTCTGAAGGAAAACCGTGCGCGCGCCCTGCCAGACCACGCCCTCCACCTCACCCGACGACAGCGGCCGACGTCTGTTACGATTGGACGACACCATGCCATCTCGCCCTTTCACCTGGGGTCAAAGCAGAAAAGAGAATTCCTCTTTTAGTCACGAGCGTCGGCCGCCGAGTTGTTTCCCGTCATAGAGGACGGAGGTTTACCGATTGATTCCTAAAGTAGGAGACCTCCAGCTTCACTCTGTGACTCTGAACCTCAGTCTGAGTGGCCTCCGTCTGTCCTCCGACACTTTGAAGGTAAATGTAAGTGGGTGGATGTGGGTGTACGTGGGCACTGCCCACATGTGACAGCCAGATCGGAATTCCAGCAGCAACAGGAATTTCAGGGCAATTTCCTCTGTACGTATGAAGAGGAAGTTCCATAATCACAGCCTCATCACATTTATTACCTTCACTCAACAATGGTGGCGTTAAAAATAATAAAAAGTCTCTATAAATACCAGCCGCAGAACAACAGGAACTTATTAGTCCTCATAAACAGTGATCTGGAAAATCAGAGGGACAATGGACAAAAGGGAACGCTGCCTCCTCTGAGGCTGGGATTAAAAACATCCTCTCCGGTCTGCAGGAACTGTTCCAGTCACTCACCCCTGATAACGTTGCGTTATCACAGAGGAGGTTAGAGAGTTCTGGGAACTCAAGTCAGCCATGTTGACCCAAAAACAGTCCCCACAAACTCATCTCAACATGTTGACCCAAAAACAGTCCCCACAAACAGTACCGAAACACAGTACTCATCTGGTCTCCGTGTGTCCTGGATAATATTTCTTCACACAGGTCATTTAGTCAGGTGTCGTTGTCTTGGTTAATACATCTTTTTCAGAGGTGAACTAAGACGGTACCTTTGATCAGAACCTGTTGATGATCAGGTTTACCTTTGATCAGAACCTGTTGATGATCAAAGATCAAAAAAACAAACAACTTGCACTGTTTAAAAGCTGAACCTACTTTGACCAGAAAACTGTTTCAAATGTTTCCACTTCTGGTTCTGACTTATTCATCCCAGTGTTCCTTTTGACAGCGTCCATGTCGTGGAGGATTGTGGACTGGACTGGACTGGACGTCTCACTGCTGGACTTTGATCAAAGAAAGTGAAAATGGCTCCAGTGCCCCAAGAAAGCACCAGGTTCCAGTTCCAACAACAACAGGAAGTGTGTTTCTTGAGAGAGGAAGTGGTAGTGGAGCTCATGGGAGGTGAGTTGCAGAGAAACCTTCGTCTCTAAGAATAGTTGCAGGGAGGAGACGCTCACCTTTTCCAGGGAGGATAATGGGGTTCCATTCATTAGTTTGTCTGTCTGACGGTCAATAACAACCGCAGCTTCATCCCAGAGAACTGACCCTCGGTGTAGTCCACCATTATCCACCACATCTGGGTCATGGCCTTTACATTCTCCTGATGAAAGGTTGTGTTTGAATAAATACAAAAATCTCCGAGTTGGACACACTAACTAGTTAACTAGTCGATTAGTTCAGTGACGGAAAGAAAGTTAATGAGCAAAAAAGTAGCCCAGAAAAAAGAAAGAAAAAGACAAAAACTCTGGTGTGTTCTACTGTGGGTCAGGTTGGTTTAAGGCGGTGGTTTCAAATCCCTGGCTTGTGGGCCACTTTCTTGTCCAGCGGATTTCTTTTATATTTATTTTCGGTTTTCTTCAGTTTTTTTGTTGAAACATTGACCATGTCGATCATCAGAGGGTTCTGGTGAGTGTGTGAGTGTGTGAGTGTGTGTGTTTGTTCGACTGAAGTGATCACTCAAGCTTATACAATGAAGTTATATATAGAGAATCTGCATTACTGTCCACTCTGCTCCTCTACATGGACTGTACTGGGGTCTTACATAACACACACACACACACACACACACACACACACACACACGTGAAACAGCTCCCATCATTCACGCTTTGGGTCCAGTTCCTGAACTACATTGGAAGCAGCCACTTTATTTATACACGTGTCAACGTCCATCAACAACAGTAAATACCTGTCAACGTCGGTTAACAACCGTGGACACCCGCCATCGCCGTCATCACCTGTCAACGTCACCCAACGTCTGTCAACAAGTCGTGCTTTATGCCGATTTTCTTGACCTCTGACCCTTCCGTCACAGTTCAACTATCCTAATACGTCACACTCACTGGTGTCACATCCAGCGAAAAGGACCGGCCGACCACAGACTAGTTTTCAAACAACTCTAGCCGCCCCCTGGTGGCCACCTGATTTTTACACTGAAGGTCTACACCCCTTTTCTTAAATAAATTCTGTTGGCAGCCCCCCTCCCCCGGGTGCTGTCTCACCCTCTGGACGATGTGTGTTGGTGATGATGTCACAGGCGTCTGCTGAGGAGAAGCAGGGGGCGAAACGACTCCTAACGACGCCAACCAGATGCAGCGAGGTTCTACACTCCTACAGTCCACTCCAACAGAACAGTGAAAACACCACTGACGGCCTGATGGAGCCAAGGTGCCAATCATCACACCTCCACCGTCCTCAGGTAGACCAGAGCAGAAACATCCAGCAGTTGGACCATGGTTGTCCTCTGGAGAAACCTGGTTTAAATGAACTGTTCTGTTGTCAGAACTCTAGGTCCCTTTGATCTGGTTCCAGTTCAGTTCCAGCATCAGTTCCTCCAGATGGTATTGGTCCATCATGACCTCGTCTTTTTTTTAAATTTTTGCTTCACCTCAGAGATTATCTCTGATGCTTGAAAACACTGGACCTGCAGCTGGTTTATCTAACCATGTGAGGTGAGGTGGACCAGGCTGTGTCCACCTCCACCCTCAGGACTAGCTGTGGTGAAGTATCTTCTCTGCTGCCTCCACACAGCTCTATTTTCAGTCTCTCTCTCCCTCAGTTCTGGTTGCTGACATCACTGCCCCCCCCCCCCCTCTCTCCTCTCTCTCTCTCTGCGCCCCCTCACCCTCCAGGTCCTGTTGTTCCGTCTCTCAGACTCTGATTCTCTGATGACATTGTTGACATGTCAACTTTTATGAAGAGAATTTCCTTGTCTTCAGGAATTGATTAGAACCTGAGGTTTGTTCACCCGTCAGGTTCTGGCACCAGGGTCCAGAGATGTTCAGATAAAGTCTCCTCTCCTGTCTCCTTACTCCTTACTCCCTGTCACCTTCATCCTCCAGCACCACAGTAAACGTGGAGGAAACTTCTAGCTCCATCAACTGAGTCATTTTACTCCAGGCTGAACAGAGGAGCCACAGTGTGGTGTTCCGTCAAGAGCTGAACACACATCTGTTCCGCTCTGATTATTCACAGTCGACAACGAGGACGACCAAACAGTCAGCTGACCACGTGATCCGGCCTTGGAGGAAGAGTGAGTCACGTGACATAAACCATATGGACACATCACCATGTATGGTCAGGATGTGACTGATCATGGGAGTGGAGGAGGATTTAAATTATCCACAGGCAAGACCAGACCTGCACTTCCCTGAAACGGCCACTGGGGAATCTTTTAGATAAAGAGTAACCTAGAAAACTGAACTCTTGACAAACAAAAACCTTCTTTCTGTTCTGACGAAGATAATGTTGTCATCAGTCACATGAAGGAGAAATTAGAACATGGTGATGATGATGATGATGATGATGATGATGATGATGATGATGATGGTTGTTAATGATAATTAGGTGCAAGGTAGTTGATCAGCTATGCTCAGTTCAACTTCTTCTAAGCTAAACACTTCTGTTGAACACCACATGAGGGCAGCACTATCTCATGAAGAACCTGAGTAAACAGTTACAATTAATGAAATGAAATTCGAATTTAGTTCAAATTGTCAAATTTAAAAATACACAGTAATAAAACGTTTTAGTTAGTTAGGTTAACACTTTTGGTTTCAAATTTAAAAATACACAGTAATAAAAATTAACGTTTTAGTTAATCTCCTTCATTTTTTGCTTCCAGTTTTCTTTGCGCTAGATTATTAATTGTATCAAAAGTTGAACAGCTGCTGTGTAAATATTAGTGACTAACCTGATTTATTTTTGTCTTTTTTACTCGTTTTGTTGTAGCAAGTCTTTATCATTGTGACAGACATTTGAGTAATTGCTGATTACATGTGAAGCTGTGCTTGGCTTGGCTTTAGGTTATATTCTTTCCATTTTATTTTATTTGCTCTGCCCTGGGCGCCTGCTGGTCACTGGTCAGCAGAAGATCTTTGTCTTAACTTAAAACCCCTCACACATTTTTATTCAAGTGCTTTTATTTTGGTGGTTGTAGTGAGGGAGACAGGAAATGCAGCCAGTAACTCCATTGCTGCAGTTTGTTTTCATTTACAGTCTGTGTCATACAGATTCACTGCAGTTAAACATTCATGAAGTGACCGATGAGTGCACGTGTCATTTAGTCTTTTCAAAATAAAAGAACTAGCTTTTCTTCTTCTTGAGTTCATTCTGTTGATGCCAGCTGACTTTTGTCAGATGAATCAGAACCGACTGGACTGTGTACATTTAAAACAAAGTTAATGATACAGACAGAAGAGGAAAGTTCCGCCCACTGACCACTGACCAACTACACGTCACGGTCACATACAGCACTGGACCAGAAGTTCTGTTCAGCCCCACTGTAACCAGTGGTTGTGTGTTGTGGACAGATCTGACCCCAGACCAGCTGGACCTCATGTATGAGACCATTGTTCCCTGATGGACAATGTCTGTGTGGGTCTGAAAGAACCAAGGACACAAAAACACAGTTTGTGTTTGACTGAGGAAGGAAGCTGCGGGCACAGGACATCAGTGGACTGGAGCTGATAAACTACAGACAAGGTTCTGGTCTAAGAGGCAGCCAGGACCAGCACAGCTGACCTGGTTCTAATGTGAACAGAACAATGTCTCAGATCAAAAACATGTTTTTTTTTGAACAATGTCTCAGATCAAAAACATGTTGGGCACAAGTTGGGCACCCAACACAAGTTGGGTTCTGAACAAACTGTCAGAACCACTGGTGTTCCCACCTTTTTTATTTCTATTTATTTGATTAACTTTTAGACTGTTGAAGCTAACGTTAGCTCTGGGGTCTGTACCAGGACTGTTGAAGCTAACATTAGCTCTGGTGTCTGTACCAGGACGGTTGTAGCTAACGTTAGCTCTGGTGTCTGTACCCGGACTGTTGAAGCTAACGTTAGCTCTGGTGTCTGTCCCAGGACTGTTGAAGCTAACATTAGCTCTGGTGTCTGTACCAGGACTGTTGAAGCTAACGTTAGCTCTGGTGTCTGTACCCGGACTGTTGCAGCTAACGTTAGCTCTGGGGTCTGTACCAGGACTGTTGTAGCTACCGTTAGCTCTGGTGTCTGTACCAGGACGGTTGTAGCTAACGTTAGCTCTGGTGTCTGTACCCGGACTGTTGCAGCTAACGTTAGCTCTGGGGTCTGTACCAGGACTGTTGTAGCTAACGTTAATTCAAAGTGAGACCACAGAGACCTTCTCACTTCACCACCCAGCTCAAGAATCTGCTTCAAAACATCTGCTGGTTTGACCTTTGTTGACCTGGTGACTGTGAAGAACAAGGGTTCTGTTTAAGGATCATAGAATAGAAGTAAGGTCCTGTGATGTTCTTGTCTTTGATTGGCTCTTCAGATCTTCATAGAAACTTTGAGTGGTTCAGAGTTCAGGCTGGTTTACTAGAACCAGGTTCAGCTGAGAGACACCTGGTTTACG